CCAACTCAGACCATGTGATGTTGAACTCAAAGTTTGTGACACTGGGAGAGGTTATCAAGTTGAAGCGGCAGGTCACTCCGGCTGATGGTCATGTCTCTTACCATGAGCTGATAGATGCGCCCACTCCCACAGATGCAGCTGCCTTCCGCTTGGAGCCAAAGAAAATGGCTGTTTACTTCAAGGTGACTGATTTCCCGGCATCAGTGAAGACAGAAACTGAGGATTCGCCTGATAAGCTCATGATTCCAGCTGCCCATCTGGCTGGTGCAGTCCCATCAAAAGTATGGGAGGCAAGCGCTCTTGCCTTGTTGGTCTGGGCAGTCAAATGGCCTGCTGTTGCTGCCAAGGGGCTACAGCCTATCCGGCCAATGGTTGTGACTGCAAAGCAGTTCACCGTCAAGGCAAAGAAGGCAGTCATGCTTGCCAAGCCCAACGCTTGAGCACAAGAAGCGGCCTGCGGCTCAAATTCTGGTAGTGACGAGACAGGACAACCATAATGCTCATGCTATGTTGAATCCATTTGTCTTTGTTTTGGTTGGAAGAGATGAGCTGCCGGCGCTTTGATTTTGAAAGTCCTCCGGAGATGGCATGGGAAGTGCGAGGAGTGATTTGCCTTGCTATGGCAAACCATGCATCCAAATCTTGCTTTGGGATGTTGCCAGACTGACCTGAACGTCAAGTCTGCGCTTTAGGAATCAGACTTCTGATGACATAATGCGCTCATGTGTGGAAATTTTGTGTTATGTATTCTTTGCTGAAGGATTGCAACAGTTGTTCATCAGTTCTGAACTGGCCACTTGTTGGTGCCTGCTTTGAACTTGCTCCAGGTACTGCATGTCTTGTCATGGCATGGGCCTCAATCACATCCTTGATGCTTTTGTCTTCTGTTAGTCTTGGTGCTGGAAGAGTACCCCCAATGGTGCTGGAAGAGTACCAACGACCGGTTCTGCGGTGCTGGAAGAGTACCTTTCCATATTTCTGAAATATTTCTTCTATGATCAAAAGTGCCCTGACACTTGCTTGCAAGCGGGGGATGGTGAGGCTCGACCTGGATGCCTCTCAATTGTGCTCAATGGTGCTGACCTTGGTGGGCAGTAGAGTTTGTGCTGATCATGAAGGCTTTGTTTGTGGGTTGCCTTTCATTCAGATATGGAAGCATTTTGGTGCTCAAAGTTTGCTGCGTTTTGTTGTTGAATGAATATCAACACATCGATAGAATCACTGTGTGTATTGCCTTGATTTGCCCAGCGCTTTCCATTAGAAGGTTCTGCAGCCATGTCGGATGACCCACCGCCCATGCCAAAGTCTGAGAACAGAAAAAAACCCTTACCTCAAGGACCTTTGGCAAAGCAGGTGCTACAGAAGAAGATGCCAGTAGAACAGGCATCTTCAAAAGTTGGGGCAGTTCCCAAACATGTCCACCAGACTATGTTGGTGCAAGGGCCGCCTTGCACTGTCTTCAGCATGCCCGAGAAGCGAGGCGCTACTCCAAAAGCAACAGCAAAGAAGCAAGACCCAGATCCAGCAAAACATGGCCCTGCAACTGAGTCTGCCAAGCAGACTGTGCCAACTCCGCCTCCAAAAGCACCAGTGGAGCAAAAGCAAGCAGCAGCCCCAGAGCCGAAGCAATTGGCCCAGGGGACCGAAACACAGAAGACTGTGCCGCCTGTGCCGCCAGTGGCAGCCCCGCCACCTATGGGGGCTGGGCCAGTGCCTCAAGTGCCAACAAGGCCGGCAATGTTGATGGGGCAGGGGATGATGCCCATGTGCAGGGGACCTTCAATCCCAACGATGATGGGTGGGCAACCAATGTCCATGGGTGGGCAAGTGGCTGGGCAACCAGTGCCCATGATGGGTGGGCAACCAATGCGGCCTGTGGCTAAACAACCGATGCCCATGGGTGGGCAACCAATGCCAATGATGGGTGGGCAACCAATGTGGCCTGTGGGTGGGCAACCAATGCCCATGGGTGGGCAACCCATGCCCGTGTGTGGGCAACCAATGCCCATCGGGGAGCCACTGCCCAAAGAGTGGAGTAAACCACAGCCAGGTCACAAGCACAACTCTGCGCAGGTGAGGCGAGGAGCAGGGCAACGAGAGAGAATGCTCAGGGAGCATTTTCAGGCACTGCTAGATGCTCAGCGGGAGCATTATGAGGCGCAGCTTCTCTTGCTGAGGGCCGAATCAGTCGCCTACCAGGCCATCATGGTGGCTGGACACCCTACTGTTCAGCAGCCGCAGGAGCAGCCGCAGGAGCAGCCCAATGAGCCTGAGCACCAGCCCGAGAAGAAGCACAGGAACGCATGAACGGACATGGCACTGGCAGCTGGAAAACAAGGATTCACTTTGAACAGGGGTGGAACTTTAAGTTGATTTGGTTTCACGTTCTCTTTTTTGACTTGAATTGTTTTGTCATTGTGTGTGGTCGCCAAGGCTGATCTTGTTGCCTGCTGCTCAGTGCAGTATTGCAGGTTTTGGTGCTGGAAGAGTACCAACATTTTGAATCTGTGCTGCAAGAGTTTGGTGCATGTGTTTGCTGTGAATCAGGCCTGGGGGCACTCTTACTGCCAGTCGGAAGCACTTCTGTGCTGGGCACTCTTACAGCGCCGCAGGGCCAATTAGCACTCTTCCAGTGCAGTGTGCTGGGACACTCTTCCAGCGCCATGTTAACTTCTGGGTAACCTTTCAGCCCTGGACACTCCTTCATTACCAGCCAAAACATGTTTAATACACTGTTAAGTATTACTAAAAATATGTGTGTGTGTCAATTCATTTAACTTATATGTGAACAATGGACTCAAGGAAAACTACAAATTGAATTGCAATGGCGTAAGTTACGGGCGGTAAAACTCAAGTGGCACTCTTTCAGCGCCAATCCATGTAACTTATATGTGTAATAATGGACTCAAGGAACACTACAAATTGAATTGCAATGGCGCTACGGGCGGTAAGACTTAAGTGGCACTCTTCCAGTGCCAATTGAAACTGATGGCACTCTTTCCAGAGCCAATTTAGTTTGATGGCACTCTTTCAGCGCCCAATTGAACCTGATAGTGGCACTCTTCCAGCACCTTGATTCCAGTGGACAAACTCAATTTGTTTGTTGACAAATGTTTAACCCCTATACACGACACACCCTACTGTACATACATGTTATGAACATTGCGTTGATATGTGTTTTTGTTCTGCATATGTGATGGTCAGTAACTCTGATGTGACAGTGCCAAAGTAGTGGCAAATTTCATTTTCACAACAAAAACATGCAAACATAAACACACTTTCCAACATATTGGACATCAACATGATTTTAAAACAACATCAAAAGACCAAACTACACCAGGCAAAAAGCAACATTAGCCAGGCAGACTCTTATTTGCTGAAGGACCCAAAGGTCCAAGTTTGCCCTGGAGAATTTTCAGCTACCTTTGTAAAGTCAGCAGGCCGGGTGTTGCCTCAAAGTGCCATCATCCGTGCTTTTCCTTTGATCGAAGATCAAACTCTTGTTTATTTGGCACGAACGCTTTGTTCGGGTTGTGGCCGCACAATCGAGTCGTGGCGAACCCCTTTTCTCTCGCCGTAGTTAGGTTTTCTTGTGCTTTGTGCTGTACAGTTTGGGGACTTTTCATGATCAGATCAGAGTATCTGTCATGACATCGACGCGGAATGGACCGTCCGATGAGTGGGTAATATACTGTATATGGATGTGTACATATCATATGGAACCAAGACTACCCAAATTCCATGATGTGGGTGATTTTGGATCCTAAGCCTTCCCAACGTGCTGTCTAAAGCAGCCTTTGAATGACACTGGATAGGACATCTTTGGATAGCATGAAACATCAGGTGATTCTCACCTACATTGATCATGCTTCAAAAAGAGTGAAACTCCTACCTCTTCCCTGCTTATCGACTGCTTCCAATGAGTTCTGTGGATTGTTTGGACAAAACTTGTATAGGAAATACGGTCAAAGAGCCGGTGGGCGGGATTTTGTTTGGAGTGCCGCCCAGGTGATAAGAATTGTGAATGGTCCGCAGACTGGGTAGGATGCATGTTTGTGCTCTTCAGTTTTTGGGAAACGGATGACTGACCCGCATAATTAAATCATAAATCAACCAACCTACAGCAGATGATGCTCCAAGTTGTGATTCTCCAGCCCTGGTGGGGGACAGAAGATGTGAAGGAACATGCTTTTCACCGGAAAGTATCTCAGGAGAAAAGAAAACATATGATTTTGGAAGGCTTTGGGTATGACCGGCCGGGAAATTCTCCTGAGAGAGAAATTCTTGTGACCGGCCGGGAGTTTGAGCCTCAAGGCAGGGGAAGGGTTCACAGAGAAGGTTCAACATCCAGGACTGATGGCAACCGTTGGCGCTGGTGTTGGGCTTTTGGGGTATCTCCGATATCTCCCAAGTAAAGAATCGAACAGAAACCATCAATCAAATTGTGATTCATGCAGACACCTGATCAAGACAGGCATAGGTATCACAGCTCTATACTTGTGACCAGAGTCTTTGTGCGTCCGCTTTTCACATCTCGGTAGCCAGGTTCCCCGGATCGCCAAATGAGCCCCTTGTGATGGGTGAACGCCCCAGCTATCAGCTGGGTGAACGGCCCCCTTCTGTTCAGCATCAAGCCCATGTAGCAATCAGAGCAAACCAACCGCTGCCTGACTCGAAGCACGGCACGCCAACCGAGCGCCCAAGATTGAATTTCGTTATTTCTGATGTCAGATCCAGTGCAGAAATCTGGAGAAGCTTCAGAAAGTTGTAAGCTGCTTACTCTTGCCACTCTATAGTCATGTGGATTTCAATCGAACGCTTTCGCTCCGGATTCTGAACCCCCTAATAGATCTCCATGACTCCCACTCCTCTCATCATCACCTGGATTGAAACCTGTTTAAGGAGCTCCACCACCTTCAAAACCATACCCAAACCGAACCAGGAACCGCTCCTCCGCCCGCTCCTCATCGCTCACCCTCAGACCGACGAAGACCACCGAGGTTCACCACCTTCACGGAGGCGGACCTGGCGCTCCGTGCGCGGGCGCAGGCCGAGGACTCGCGGATCACGCGGCAGCGCTACGCGGACCACGAGCTGCAGCACAGCGTGGATCAGGAGCGGCGGACCCGAGTTCAGGTCTGAAGGGCTTGGAGAAACGGAGCCAGAAGGGTGGGGAAAAGGAGGGTGGAAGATTCTACATTGATTCAATTTGTTTTTTTTTTTGGGGGGGTGAATTGACTACTGTGTGTTTCGGTCTCAGTATTTCATCCAAAAGGGATCCAAGTACCTTCTCAGAAGGTAATTACTTGGATCCCGAGAGCATGTATATTATATAATGTCTTGTTATTTCTTGTTTGGGTTCCTTGCTTGCTCGAAGGGCAAAACAGCGAACACGTGTTGTTGTTCATCAAGCCTGATGCGAGCATCCAAGGAAGTTTTGGTGCTGCAATCACGCCTGAATAATCTTGGAGGTTCTCACGCAGATGCAAGTGTTTCTTTGGGAGGCAGCCATTCTTGACGGTTCCTCCAACAATAGTGTTGGGTCTCCACTGGAGCAACAGTCAAATTGTCGTCGTTGAGGTTTAGTTGATGGGTTCACACATCCCAAAAGCGCAAGGGTGCGTGCTTCGTCTCCCTCATCGCACGAAGAAATCACGAATGAACAGACTATCCTTTACAGTACAGGGATGTGAGCCCCCGTATCATATCACTCGTGCATTTCGAGCGACTAAGCTCCTCCAGCCACTCCCGCAAAGGGGATCATCTTCAACATCCCATCCTTCTTCCGCCAACGAACACCACTCGCGGCGGATCTCGCGGAATGCGGCGTCGCGCTTGGTCGCTTCGCTTCAGGAAGCACCACCCACTCGGCTACAAGACTTTGTGCGACATCCAGCCTTTGATGGCTTCTTTGCCATGATCGTCCTCATCAATTGCTTCTTCATCGCCTTTGAAGTTCAGGACCCATGTGTCTCAGTTCCCCCCGACCGGACCGGGTCTGCGGTCAGGTTTGGTTCGGTTTTTTTGGGCTCGGTCCAATGGCGCTCCATGGTTTGGGGTGTGCAGTCTTGGTGGGATTTTCTGGCTTGGGACCTATAGAATGGGACCAACCTCCCAGTTTTGTTCTCGCTTTTGTTTTGCTTTCACGATCGTCCGAAGCGATATGCCGTAGCATGAGTTTGTTCCTGGTCCATGGTCACTCCTTTCCAACAGCCTTGTCCAGCAGTTTCACGCAGCTTGGCATGTGGCTGGCCGTCTACATTCATCTCTGCAGCTAGCCGTGGCTGGCTGTCCGCATGTCACAAGGTGTGAAGGTCTAGTTAGTCCAGGCGGTGTACCTGGAAGGCAGTGGCGGGTCACGTTGACCTTCCAGACCCTTTTTAGCAGGCAACAAATTGACAGAAAAAAGGACTTCCTTGAAGCCAGAATGGCTTCCTGTACTGCTACGAAGAGATTCCTGCTTGGATCCCAGTCTCCTTAGCTAGCAAAAGAACTCCCAATGGCATTGGTCAGGGTTTGTGAGTGTTGGGTTCATTTTGCTTCTCTGTGCATACAAAATCGATCCGGGACACGTCGCCAGGAGAGCATTTGGAACGATGCACCACAGCCACTTGCCAGTCAACTCGACTAAGAATCAACTATAGACTCAACCTGGAATCGCGATGAATCGCGGCTCAACTAGACTCAATTACACTGAATTCGTATGAGAATGTCTGAGATTTTGGCTCATCCAGTTCATTCACCATTGGCTTGTCTTCACGCTTTCTGGACCGATCCTTCCCTTTGCGCGAAAACGACAGGTCCTTGTGCCGGAGCGGCCTAGAATCCCGGCACGGTACGCAGGTCCGTCTTCTTGACTGCCACCCAATACGCCTTCTCTGCGATCTTCACCATTGAGCTCATCTTGCGCTTTGCGGCCTTTGGTTGCTCCTCGTCTTTTCTGAGACTTTAGGTTTGGATCTCTACACCACTGGATTACAAATTTTGCTAGACAAGCACTGCAGACATCAACCCTGCTACTGACTTCTATGTTGTTGTCATTTGTGCTCTATACATTTGTTGTTTGATGTTGCTTGCTGAATTCTTGCAGAATTCTTGCATATTAATTATTAGTTGTTGTTTTTTAAAGTCAACCAGGTGTCCATCTCAGATCTTTTTTCATTTTAACGTCACCGACGTCGTGGCGTCCATCTGTTCGTAGCGGCAGGTTCGCTCTTCTGCTCGGACGAATGGTCTTGGATCTGCTTGGACACGTTGATCGTCTTGACCTCCCTGGTGGAAGTCGTGCCTTGGGACAAAGAGACGAGGAAAGAGGTGGAGCACAGCACAGGAGAGATGGGACCTTTCATTTAGCAGGGCGTTGCGCGTTACTGTCGAAGATTTCTGAGACTTGGATGAAGCAATCAACGATCTTAAAATAAAAAACACATAGATGGATTGTTGATAAATTGAAAGTAAACATAGACTTGGTGGTTGCCAACCATGGAGACATATGGGGACCAGAAGTGGCCATCTTAGATATGTTCTGGCTCAATCAGTGCCAAACCCATTGCATGGTCCTTTAGGTCGTTTTAATATGGTCCTACTGGAGGTCTTTTGTTGCTCACTTTAGCGCAATTTGACGTAGACCATCCTTTTTTGTTTTGTTTTTTTTGTTTGGAGATTGCGGTGTGATGTGGTGTGGGGCAGTCCAGCCAGCCAGGACACGCAGGCAGGTTCAAAACAACAAATGTATGGAATCCGATTTGTTATAACTTTAACATACTTTAACATGTTGTTTATGTTGTTTTTTTTCTGCGGGGGCAACATGTCACCCAAGAAACATGTGTGAAACTAGATTAGTGATGAGCTACCACCCCAAAACCTACTCCAAATCCTTGCTGGCGGCACTGTCTTCGTGGAAGACCAGGTGGGGAATGTGGCTGTGGCGATCACCCAGGATGAGGTGGAGCAGCTCGGGGATTCTCCTAAGGGACCAAGACGGTCATAAAACCTCAAACATACATATATCTTAACCAGGGCCCCTAAGGCATGTCTAATAATAGTTCCTGGGGGTGTCCATTAACCAGCTCTCAGGGGGGCCCTGCAACCATTTTCAGTGTTGTTGTTGAGGTCCCTCTTGGCGGTACAAAGGCCGTTGTTGTTTCTGTTCAATTCCTTCTTGGTTAGGGTGATTTGGGTGATTTTGCCCTGTGGGTGAATCATGGGTCAATTTCCTTCTGGGAAAACCTATATACTGTCACAAACGATGCACTCTGAAGAAAGCCGAAAAAGACAACAGCTTAAAAAACCTTGTTTCCGTTGTTCCTTGTTCCATTGGTTCATTACAGATTCATATGATTGGCTACATCTGGCATTTGAACACATGCTTGTACCAATAGCAGGCTGCTTCACAAAGATCACAAGACGGAGCTCGGTTTTTTTTCTTTTTTCAAACGTCACAACAATTTGTCAAGTCTGCTTTCAACATGGTGTTTCATTGCCCCTAAAGTCATCTACAGGAAATAGAAAGAGAAGACACGTTTGGCCTGTTATTGGGATTTGGGTGGTTTGGCTGGACATCTTCTTTGGTTCGCCATCTGCCAGGCCCTGGCGAACAGCGTCTTGAACATTTCAGGCTTCAAAGCTTTTCGCATCATCCGGGCGCCTGGGCCAGTCGAGTGGGAGACCTACTGGCCTAGGGAGACCTCCTGGCCTAGGGGGTTGTGGTCTATTTGGCTTCCATTGGGGGAAGCGAATGCTGGGAGGTCTCCCTACTTGAGCTACAGGCATTGTTCAAAGGCAAGGATTACAAGTGGTGTCAGATTGCAGTTCTTGAGAGATCCTGATCCACCTTAAGACCCTCCCAAGCATCGTCGAAGACCTGGACGTTCTCGGAATGTTTGGATTTTCCTACTCAGACTTCCAAGGCCTGCCAGACTGCCAGCACCGGACTGCATAGCAGTAGTTGAGTATCCCTCATATCTCCAACCCCTCAGAAGGATTCAAAGTCCGCCCCTTTTTCCCACCGGACGACCTGGGCGCTGAAGAAAGGGGACGGCCGCCCCCCATGCCAATGACCCCCCAGGTGACCCGGATCCTGAAGACCTTGCGCTTGGTGCGGGTCTTCCGCTCCTTGGGGTGCTTTTTTTGGTCGAGCGCGCGCCTGCGGGGGCTGAGGAGAGGCTGACATTTCGCAGAAGTTTCAAGGAGAAAAAGGTCAGATTTCAAGAATTCTTCGCTAGGCCGCTAGGAAAAGGGGGACATGCTGTTGATCCAACAAAGGCCGAGAGAAAAAAACGGATGCATGAAATGGTACGTAGACAAATGATGACAAATGGATGGTGAAATCAAGGAGTCGAGACAGATCATAGATTCATCCCAGGGGCGAGATGTAACACATTTCTTAGAATCTAAGAACTTATTTTTATGTTTGTCATAGTGGATCCACTGTAGCATCTTGTGACCTTTGTTCCGACAGATGTTGCGACTCCTAACCTACCGTAAGTTTGTGAGTGAACTTTGCCGACCCGGGAACTGGCGAGAGGACAATGAAATTGGTGGTCATATTCATGTTGAATGGGCACCCTACTGTATATCATCATTATTACATTATTATCACAAATTACAATCATCACTATCATCCCTATCATCCCTATCATCAGCATCAGCATCAGCGTCATCATCATCATCATCATCAGCAGCATCAGCATCAGCATCAGCATCAGCATCATCATCATCATCATCATCATCATCATCATCAGCAGCAGCATCAGCATCAGCATCAGCATCAGCATCACCATCATCACCATCACCATCACCCTCATCCCCATCCTCATCATCGTCATCGTCATCGTCATCACCATATCCATCCATATCCTGTTGAATCATAACCAAATATTGTTCTACCTGGACTATCAAAGGTATATAGAGATGTTGAAACCTGTATCCCTGACCCTCAAAGAGGTAGCTCACTTGCAGAGTCTCCTGGTCGACGTACAGGGTAGCAACGACGTAGAAAAAAAAACAACCAGGACCCTCCCACTGACCTTTTTGGAGTCAGCAAGTGACCTTTTGCAGGCCTAAGTCACCTCAAACCAGGGGATCAAAAGGTCACTGGGAAGATCCAGGAAATCAGTCCTGTTGTTCACACGACTGAGGCTTTGTGATGGCCTTGCGCACGCTGGTCACTTCCATCGTCTACACCTTGCGATCCCTGTTCTGGGCGATGGCATTGCAACCTGGAGACAAGAAAGAGTGAGAAAGATAAAGTTCCCTTTTTGGGGGGGGAGTGGTGTTGATTCGTCCAGGAAAACTGGTTCACGTAGGGCTGGAGACTGCTGCAATTCCTGATTGTTGTGCTTTCGAACAACAACAACAACAGCAACACAGTACAAACTGGCTAACACAAGCTACTGCTGGAAATAATAGACCACAATTGGAAAGATTCGGCAGATGAAACATTCTGGTAAAGCTCCCTTTGCTGAAAGGAAGATCTTCCAGCCGTCGAAGCTGAAGATGCCAACTATATTGAGTTTGTAGGCTTGTAAGCGGGACTTCTCATGTGACTTCTTGGTAGGACTCTCAAATAAAGACATCAATTTGTCTCAGACATGTCTTGGTAGACACCTTTCGTTGGTGAAAAAGTCCACTGGGTGCCATTAATTGTTGGTCCAAATACCTAAACACATCAAAACAAACATCAAATCACAATGTCCACAACTACTACACCCCCGATGGCAGCCCTTCCCTTTAAAGCCGTTGCGCCATTTAGAAACCTGAAGGTTCACCATTAAAAAGACCTATGCAACGAGGACGTGAAAGGGGCTCAGGTTTTGACTCACAGCCATAATTGAAGCCATTTCTTGCTGCGCCAGCAAAAGTGCAGCCAGCAAAAGGCACTCAGGCTTTTGCTCATCGTCTTTGTCTTTGCCGTGTTGTCGCTCGGCCGGTAGCATGAAAATGGCGCATTCTGGGGATAGCCATGGTGGCAGTCGTAGCGGGGAATAAGATGCAATAAGTAAATATCATCGGATTCGATGTTCACTGAAACCAGTTCACCAAGAGTGAAGTTCCTTGTGATGTTCATGCGACTGTGGACATCTAGCTGCAACTGTTCCTGGTTTGCTGGGAGCCTGCTGGAATGTTTGTTCAAGGTCTCCAAGAAGAGCAGCACGACGAAATACATGTCCAGCACATCAGCACATCGGGTTGCGGACTGAACATCGCAGTTTTGGCGTAGACCTCTTGGTCAAGGCATGTCATGGCTTCGATCAATGGATCAGAGGAAGGATTGCACACGGATGGTCAGAACATGAGGTTGCGGAAGATGACACCCCCCCCGTCTTTGCAAAATAGCGGTCAGATAAGACCTACACAGGATTTGCCCCTTAGTGCGACTGCGCTCCCGGGCAAGGCTGCCATGCTATATAAAAGGCTTGGATTTGTGTATGTCGTATGCGTACTCGAAATTAGATGTTGAGAACTCAACAAAGCTTCTTCAGTGATGTTGGTATTGCAGCGCCTGAAAGTTTGCGGCACGCGGCACTCGTCAATCCGAGGCTTGTTGAAGCAGTGAGCGACTATGTGCAGAACAATCCCGGTGTGTTGCCATTTGAGGAGAATGAGGCGCGGGAAATGCTCCAACGGGTCAGTGAGAGTGCTCCATGATCCCTTCAAGTTTGAAGCTACCAAAGCATGGCAAAATCCGCTTCGTTTACTTGTGATTCTATATGACTTTGTGGTTGATCCGTACATTTCACCCCCGTCAATTGGGAGGAACGACTCTTGGAGCAGACGTCTGCAGACGTCACTCTTGGGGCGAGGGTCGAAGGTGCAGAGGACCTAGTCGGATAGTGAATCGTTCTCAACGAACAGACTAACACTATCCGGATGGCACTCTTGGTTTCGCACCAAAAATGCCAGTCAACGACTGAAACCCAGTCAAGATAGTGGTTTCAGAGGTGAGAAATGGCACTGGCAATCCAAGATGTCTTAGACAGATGGGGATTGCGGGTTCGGCCCCCTAAACCTCCACCTTCACGACGCCGACCTGGCCGCGTGAGATCCGATACCGCTCGGAGTTTGGGTGAACGGAAGGAGTTTCGGTGTAAGGGCGACACTGCAATTGGCCGAGGTTTTGGAGAGTTAACTGTGTGTTGTGTTTTTTTCACATACTAAACATCATCAAAAGCTGCGTGAACGTGGTGAGCCGCTCGCTTCGGCCACGACATCCACAAGTGTTAGGTTTTTTGGGGGGTTTCCAGGAAGAAGATGCAACACTTGGGCAGATGGGGCCCCGGAGGGTGGTTCGCTTCAGAAGCGGGGATTCGATCCCTGAATCTCCCAAAACTGCTTTTGGCCTGTTCAATCAAGATAGCTCTGAAGCTCAAATAGGGAGACCGAACCGCCGGGCGTTCCGACCACCAGCAAGGGGACAGACCAGTCTACCCAGCCACGGGGGTCTTCCCAACAAGAACAATACACACCCCTAGGGATACAAGTACCTTCTCAGGTCATTGGAGACCCTGTTATGTAGGTTTGGAGGATCCAAGTACCTTCTCAGAAGGTACGACTGGATCCCTAGGGACCCAATATGAATTCGCAGGTCACCCAGCGCCATGCCGCCTAGAGGAACCACCGTTGTTTTTCCCGAATGCGTAGCGAAAGGTTCCCGTTTATAGTTGGGGGTCTGGGGGTTGGAGCTGTGTTCGCGTGGCTTGCGTCGTGTCGTCGTCTCTCGTCGTCGTCGCGTCTCAAATTTGCTGCCATTGGGGGAAGCTTTTGCAAGTGACTTTGCATGGATGTGTCACGTGTCAGTTTGCGCCGCTATTCCATTGTGATTTGCGTGACACGGACATGTCGCGCAAGAAACGTGATGCACTTCGCTGCACAGGCGCAGCGTTTTGTGAGATCCGCAGATTACGGCGCAGTTCCATTGGGATTAGCGTTTGGAGAGTCGTGTTTTTGGGGTGTTGGATGTGGCCGTGCCATTGGGATTTGCGTTTCAGGGTGTGGCATCGAAGCTTTGTTTTCGTGCCAAGTCTCAGCTGAAATGGTGATTTTGATGGATGGGAGTGTGCTCTGAACGGGTCGAAATCATTCCAAACGTGTGGTGTGGTGCAAATTTTGTTGAAGCTCACATGCGATGATATTGTCACTTTTCGTGGCAGGCGCAGGACTTCGCGCGGGCTTTGAAGCGTGGAAGTGCAATTCTCGTGGCAGGCGCAGGGAATCGTGAGGTTGCGAGGTGTGAGGGAGGTGACATTTCGTGGCAGGCGCAGTACTTTGTGCGCGTTAGACGTGTGGATGGGGAAAGATTCGTGGCAGGCGCAGGGAATCGTGAGGTTGTGAGTTGTGGTAGAGGTGAATGTCGCTGTCCCATTGGGATTGGCGTGTGAGCGGATGTTGTTTGGAGGGGCTGGAATCGCGAAACTGCTTGGCAGGACTGCGTGATGTGTGTGCTCCGATGGGTGTTTCCGCTTGACTTTTGGAGGAAGTCTCGTACGAAACGCTCGTTTTGCAGACTTTGACGTGCGAGTTTTTGACGAAGTCTCGTACGAAACGCTCGTTTTGGAGACTTGACGCGCAACCCTCTGCGGAGATCGTGC